GGTCCCTTTTTAACTCACTGAAATTTGCTCTCTTCCAGTTGAGTATCTTCACCTTAGATGGTTCCTTGTCTCTTTCCATATGCACTTTGAATCTAATGATGTTATGTTCATTATTGCCCAAATGCTCTCCCACTGAAACCTGCTCCACTTGCCCTACTTAATTCCCCAGAAATAGATCTAGCACTGCTTCCTTCCTCGTTGGGATGGAAACGTACTGATCAAGAAAGTTGTCCTGTATGCATTTTAGGAATCTTTCCCCCTCCTTGCCCTTTACGCTGTTGTTTTGCCAGTCTGTATTGGGATAATTAAAGTCCCCCATTATCACAACTCTACTGGCCTTGCATCTGTCTGAGATCTGCTTGAAGATCTGCTCATCTATTTCCTTCCCACTATTTGGCGGTCTATAGTGTACCCCTACCAGCATAACGGCTCCTTTTTTGTTCCTTAACTCTAACCAGATAGATTGCGTTTTGGTGCCCTCCAGCACCTCGACCCTTTCCACGGCTATAACCGTATCTTTGACTAAAATTGCCACAGCCCTCCTTTTTTTCCTTCCCTATTCCTCCTGAATACTTTGTAGCCAGGAATATTCAGCTCCCATTCCTGTCCTTGTTTGAGCCAAGTCTCTGTTACTGCTACTACATCGTATCCCCCTATGACCACTTGAGCCTGCAACTCACCAATCTTGTTTGCTAAACTCCGTGCATTTAGGCTCATGCACTCCAAGACCGACCTGACCTGTTCTGCACTCCCCCCCCACTCAAAACTAGTTTAAACCCTCCCCAACAGCATTAGTTAGCCTGTCTGCAAGCACATTCGCCCCAGCCCTGTTTAGGTGCAACCCATCCATATGGTACAGGTCCCACCTGTTCCAGAACTGGACCCAATGATGCAGAAACCTGAAGCCTTCTTTTCTGGACCGTTTCTCCAGCCAAGCATTCATATACTTAATCCTGCCATTATGGTACTGATTTGCCCGAGGCACAGGGAGTAATCCAGAGATCACCACCTTGGATGTTCTATTCTTTAGTATGTTCCCCAGCTTTTGATATTCACCCTGTAGAGTCTCAGCCCTTTTTTTTTTGCCAGTATCACGGATCCCAACTGGACCACATCTGAATGTTCTCCTTCCCCCTGAAGAATTTTATCCACCTGTTCCGCGATGTCTAAGACTGTTGCATCAGGGAGGCAGCATACCATCCTTGATTCCCGTCTTCTGTTACAGAAACGTCTGTCTAGATTTCTCACTGTTGTATCCCATATGACAACAGCATTGCTCCTGTTATCTCTGTTCTCCTGTTCAACAAAGCATTTTTTACTGTCCTCCCTGGAGATATCAACACTCTCAATGTTCAGTACAGAGTACTGGTTTGAGAGTGCTACACTATTGGGAGCATTTTGCCCAGCCCGAACCCTCTTCCTACCATGCCAGACAGTCACCCAGTCATTTTCCGTCTGAACCCTCGGTGTGTGGGGTGGGGTGGCCACCTCCTGAGTTGTCTGGTCCATCAAATCCGTTGTACAAGTTTGAAGCCCAAGGCTCCATCACCCCTCTCTCAAGGGTCCCATTATCTGCAGGACTGATAAAACTATCCTGTCCCTGAGCATTAACCGGATGCAAGCATCTCCCGAGTCTCAGGGGAATGATCATCATACTGTTGATCATAATGATCCATCATACTGTTCAGCGGCAATCGCGACAAAACTTTTCAGGGGCAACCGTGGCAATACATTTCAGTGGCAACCGCAGCAACACTGTAGAGGACGTTAATTTGAAATTAGTTTATCAAAGAAGCGGAAAGTGAATGCTGAAGGCTAAATATTCAACAAAGAATGGACTTCTAAATATTTTTTTACCAGTGTGGATGGAACAGCTGTGTGCTTAATTTGCAAAGAAAGTGTGGCAGTGCTCAAAGACTACAACTTGAATCAACATTTTGAAAGCAAACATGCTTGCAAATATAAGATTGTTTCTGCCGAAGAAAAAGGAAAGAAAGCTGATGAGATGGTTGTTCGAATGCAAAAAGAGCAAAGCATTTTCACAAAACAATTTGCATCCCAGGATGAGATTATAAGAGTGAGTTATGTGATGGCATACAAAATCGCCAAGAACAGCAAACCATTCTCTGAAGGAGAATTTATAAAGGAATGTATGGTTGACTGCCTCGATTTTATACCCAGATAAGAAAAAACAGTTCGAGAATGTTAGCTTGTCAAGGTGAAGTGTTGTGTCGAGGATATCTCTGAGAACCTGTATCTGCAGTTACAAAATAGAGTAAGGAATTTTACATGTTTTTCACTGGCACTCGATGAGAGTTGTGATGTCAAATACACAGCCCAGTTGATAATTTTTATTTGAGGTATCACCAAACATTTTGAGCTCACAAAAGAAATGGCATCATCAATGCATTTGCATCTATATTACGTTGTGGCCCGCGAAGCTTACCAAAACTCATGAAGTGGCCCGCCAGCCAAAATAATTGCCCACTCCTGGATTAGACTATGTGAGTTCAAGTCTCGACGTGGGACTTGAACCCAGAACCTTCTGACTCAGAGGCGAGAGTGCTACAAACTGACCAGGTTGACATCATTTTTTTTCAAATCAATGAGTTAATGCTTAAATAAATGATCCCAAATTTGCCTTTGATTTTAGACCTGTTTTAAACCAACACAAATTAAGCCAGGAAAAAAGGACAATTTTAAACCCCTTTTTAAAACAAAATCAAACCCCCCAAAATTGGGGTTCATTTCCAGAGGGATATAAATGAAAAGCAGGAAGTTATTGTAAACTTCTATAGAAGCATGGTAGACAACACCTAGAAAAGTGTGTGCATTCTGGTCCCCACGTTATAGAAGGGATGTGGAGGCATTGGAGAGGGTGCAAAGGCGATTCACAAGGATGATCCCAGAACTGAGAGGTTATACCTATCAGGAAAGGCTGAACATACTTGGACTCTTTTCTCTTGAAAAGAAGGTAAGGGGTGACTTGATAGAGATCTTTAAAAAAGATGAAAGGTTTTGATAGGGTAGACATAGGGAAGATGTTTCCGCTTGTGGTGGAGACCAAAACCAGGGGCCATCAATATAAAATAGTTACAAGTATATCAAATGGAGAAGTTAGAAATTTCTTCACACAGAGAGTACTGGAAATGTGGAACATGATACCACAGGAAGTTGTTGGGGTAAATAGCATAGATGCATTTAAGGGGAAGGCTCGATAGGTACATGAGAGAGAAAGGAATAGAAGGTTTTGCTTGAAGGCTTAGTTGATGAAGGGCAGGTGGAGGCTCATGGGGAGCATAAACACCAACATAGACCTGTTGGGCCGAATGGCCTGTTTCTGTGCTGTATATTCTAATGTATCTGATGTATTCTAGTGTAAAACAAGTGAGTTGTTGAGGGACTGACAGGGACTGACCGGCACTCAGTGGACATTTGCTGTTATGCGTTGGGAAATTTGAGTTGTGAAAGAGTTTCCACTAAATTCACTGACCTGAAGCTATTAAATATTGGTTTATCCAGGTCATACAAGACAGTATAATTTACATGTATACAGTACCTTTCATCTCAGATGTCTTAAAGCAATTGACACTGCTTGGTATCTGAGCTGCGGGGTGGGAACCGAAGATGTTAAGGAGAGGAAAGATGACCGAAAGTGCAGTCAAAGAGGTACAACTTAAGATGGGCAGTGAAAGAGGAGAAAGGTAACAAGTTGGAGGTACTCCAGGATGGAATTTCCAGAGAGTGTGGGCAGAATGGCTGAAAGTTATGGTTATGTGCGTTCTCGGCTTTTTCTTCTACAAAACTTTCTGAAGTTCGCTCTATCAAATACAGAGAGAAAAGGAGAAAGTAAAAGAGAGAGAGAAAGGGAGAAAGACAGAGACACAGATACACAAACGCATCCACAGAGGGAAATAATTCCCCCCTCCCACCTCCTCCGTTTGTTTTCTCATCTTCCTCTACTCGTGAGGGAGTTTGACTGCTTTGTCTATCTCACTTTTTCTCTCTCTCTTGGAATCTCTCTAAAAAATGTATTTTCCTTTGTGGGCATGTGTGTCTATCTTTCTCTCTTTTACTTTTCTCTCTTTAACTTGGTGCCAGTCTGGCTCAGTTGGTAAACTCTACCTCTGAGTCAGAAGGTCGTGGCTTCAAGCCAACAAGAGTCTTGGGTAGAACTTCATTGGCGGAGGTGCCATTCTTCGGATGAGATTTTAAACCGAGATTCTATCTGTTCAGGTGGATGTTCAAAAATCCCATGGCACTCTCTGTCTATTCAAATAGAAAATGTATTTTCAACCAGTGTCCTGGCTGACAATCCCTCACATAAAATTGCTGATACACTTTGTGGCTATTTGTTAGACTTTGCTGTGCACAAATTTCCTGCTGTGTTCACCTACAAAATATACACATTTCCTGTACTTTCAGTATATCCTGTGAAGTGCTTTGAGGTGTCTTCTTTATGCTTTATTATTTTATCTGATAAATACAGTCACTACACTTTACAGAATATTCTGTGAAGCAGTATATTTTGAGACTATATCAAATATAAGGATTATTATATATAATCCACAAATTATGGTATGCTGCTGTGTGCAATTGGCTGCTGTGTTTTGGCCACAAAGTATACAGTCAATTCATAAGAACATAAGAAATAGGAGCAGGAGTAGGCCATGCGGCCCCTCGAGCCTGCCCCGCCATTTAATAAGATCATGGCTGAATTTAACCTAATTCCATTTACCCGGCCTTTCCCCATATCCCTTAATCCCTTCAGTTTTTAAAAATCCATCGATCTCATTCTTGAATATGTTCAATAACTGAGCATCCACAGCCTTCTGGGGTAGAGAATTCCATAAAATGTTTTCTTCAATTTAATGTATGTTCTGTGAAGCACTTTGGGATGTCTCAATAATGTGATAAGACGCTATATCAAATGAAAGGATTATTATTATTTAAGTGCAGGTTGTTGTTGCTGGTATTGATGTGTTTGTTGCTCTTTTCAGGGATCCAGGATGAGTTGAAGTCTCCGTCGGCTTGCTTGGTGGCAGGGAAGGTGGTCCGCGGGGGGACTGGGCTGTTTGAACTCAAGCAACCCCTGAAGTAATCAGCCCTTTTTCCTTGGGAGCATCTCAAGTTTGACGCCAATTTAAGAGCAAGGGACGTCAATGTGGTGCTTGTGTTTTATAACCTATAAACTAAGTACCGAAGAGGAAGGAAGGTGGAGAAAAATAAGGAGAGAGACAAACTCTCCTTACACTGGAGGGAATTTCACTGGATGATGATGATGGTTTATTTTTGGCAAACATTCGCCTAACAGAGACTTTTTCTGAGTTACTTTGTGATCTGCTGGAGACTGAGACTGTTCACTGGCACCATTAGCCCCTCCCCCTCTCCATCCTGATTTGCAACACTGCTACCAAGCCAAAGACAGTGTCCGTGGGATGCAGTAAACTTGCAGCTGCCTGGAATCCTATTTAAGTTTCCACTGAACGTCTCTGAACGTTATGATGAGTGTTTTAATGTGTGTATTTTTTCCAAAAGCATAGTGGCCTTGGAATAAAGTGACACTGTTGTAAAGGGTTTAATAGATCTGGTTTGTTTCTGCCCAGCAGAGTAACATGGGAAACACTTGATTCAAATCAGTGTTATAACAATAAAATTCCTGGCCAACAATCTCGGTGACTCCTCCGCCGCCAATAAAATTGGTCATTCACTCATAACTGTATGTGGAGAGTTGCTGTTTGCAGATTGGATCCTGTTCGTCTACAAAAAATGCACGGTCTGTGCACTTCACAGTGGAATCACGTGGAATATTTTGAACAAGCTGGATGATGTGATAAGGAGCCATATCAAATGCAAGGAATATTATAAGGTTAAAAAAATTCTCATCTCCCTTCTGGTTCTTTTGCTATTTATCTTAAATCTGTGACAACAACAACAACACGATTCCATTTACAGAGCGCCTTTCACGTCGGGAGGACGTCCCAAGGCGCTGGACAGTTGGGTCAAGACCCGAGCAGGGGGGAAGGGGGGAGAGGCAGTGACCTCTGCCAGTGGAAACAGATTCTCCGTATTTACTCCATCATACCTCTCATAATTTTGAATATCTCTATTGAATCTCCCCTTAACCTTCTCTGCTCTAAGGAGGACAATCCCAGCTTCTCTCGTCTCATTTTATGTTGAAATGCAGGCACTGTTTTTTGTAGATGAATGTTTGTTATTCTTTAAATAAGGAACTGAAAGCACAATTTTCTTCTTTGAATGTGAGACAATCTCAAGACTCCAGTTGCCTTCCATTTTTATTATCTGTCAGTTAATATGGTCTTGTGAGTAGAGACCACAATTTCTTTAAGGTCTCTAAACTAAGGGCTTGAGGAACATTTGCTGATCGAGTTATAACTATTACAGGAACTTCAGCGTTGAATGAAAGTTGTCATCTTTCTGCCCCCCCCTCCCACTTTTGTCCCTTTCCGAGCTATGGAAATTCCCCCTTCAGCACAATAAGTGCACAATGACTAAGTGTGCCTATGCTCATCCTGGCAAAATACCAACCGATCATGCTATTGTCTTCCCATTAAGGCATTAAGCTGTTTTTCTAAATGACTCCCAGAATCCTGTCCTCTCTGATGCAGTGCCTCATCACATTAGTGTTATATATATATATATATATAGTCGCTGTTGTTATGAAACAGTAAATAATCCTTGCATTTGATAGACAATACAAATTTACATTTATATTGCGCCTTTCACACTAGGACGACATACTTCAGTGCCTTGGATATAGTGGCTTTACACATCATTGAGACATCGCAAAGCATTTCACAGAATATACATAATAAAGGTGCTATATGAAATGCAAGGATTATTATGATAAAGCCTATTCTGTGAAATGCTTTGAGCTGTCTCAGTGATGTGATAAGGAACTATACCAATGCAAGGATTATCACATTGGAAAGACTTCTCCAAAGCGCTTCACATGAATTGCTGTGAAGTGGAGTGACTGTGTATTTGTTTATAATTGATAAAGCTGAATATTGTCTTCAGTTATTACTGTTGATCAACAATCTCTGATTCAATCTGGAGAGGGGGCTGAGTCATAGGACGCGTGGGTTGAATAAATTAATAATGCATCATTTCCAAACTTGCCAAACCACTTTATGATGTGCAAGTCTTCCTTATGTTGAAACATTGCAACGCATTTCAGAGTTTTCTGTGATCTGGAGGTTGTTGGGATTTCTGATCTCTGAGTTCGAAACATGATCCAACAATCTAAAGTGTAACAGATTTATTGAATATAGACAGAATCAATTTAAATTTTCTAAAGTACCCCGCAACGACGTCCCTAATTAAGGACTCTAGAATTTCCCCTACCACCGATGTCAGACTAACTGGTCTATAGTTCCCCATTTTTTGTCTCCCACCCTTAAATATCGGCGTTATGTTTGCGACCTTCCAATCAATGGGAACCATTCCAGAATCCAGGGAATTTTGGAATATCAAAAACAAAGCATCCACTATCTCTGCAGTCACCTATTTTAAAACCCTAGGGTGCAGGCCATCAGATCCAAGGGATTTGTCGTTTTTTATTCCTATCAATCTTTCTAGTACTATTGCTTTACTGATGTTCATTTCTTTAAGCTCCTCACTAACATTAACCTCCAGGTTCCCCCCTATTTTCAATAAGTTTTCAGTGTCCTCTAATGTGAAGACAGAAGCAAAATATCTGTTTAATGGCTCTGCCATTTCTTTATTCCCCATTATAATTTCCTGTCTCTACTTGCAATGGATCCACATTCACTTTTGAGTCTTTTCCTCTTTATGTACTTGTAAAAGCTCTTACAATCTGTCTTATGTTCCTAGCTAGTTTACCCTCATACTCCATTTTCTCCCTCTTAATCAGTTTCTTGGGTTTCCTTTGATGTTCTCTAAAGCCCTCCCAATCCTCAGGTTTACTGCTCTTTTTGGCAGTATTATAGGCCTCTTCTTTTAATTTTACACTCTCCCTAACTTCTCTAGTTAGCCAAGGTTGAACCACTTTTCCTGTGGTATCTTTATTTTTCAAGGGAATATGTGACAGCTGGGAATTATGTATTATATCTTTAAATGTTTGCCATTGCTGGTCTACCGTCATATTTTTAATCTAATTTTCCAGTCTATTTTAGCCAAATCTCTCATTACCTGCGAAGTTGGCTTTATTTAAATTTAAGATCCTTTCTTCAGATTCAACTATATCACTCTCTAACTTAATGCTAAATTCCATCATGTTATAGTCTCTGCCCTAGAGGAGCCTTAATTTCCAGATTGCTGATTAGCCCTATTTCATTACACAAAACAAGATCTATGATAGCGTGTTCCCTGGTTGATTCCTTAGCATATTGTTCTGGAAGTCTATCTCTAACGCATTCTAAAAACTCATCCTCTAATTTACTTTTGCCAATTTGGTTTTCCCAGTCTATATGAAGATTGAACTCAACCACTATTAGTGTATTACCTTTGCTACATGCTCCTTAATACCTTGCCTGTAACTGCTGTTTGGCGGTCTCTACTTCTCTATTCTTTCTCTTCCCTACTCCTCTTAGGTTCTTGCCATCTAGGCTACGTATAGCTTATTTTACAAAAATAGCAGAAGCTGGGAACACTCAGCAGTTTTCTATTTTACTTACATTTCTGTTTTTGTTTCAGCTTCCCGGCATCTGTAGTATTTTGCGTTTTTTTTATTGGCTTCTTTTATTTTTCTGCTAAAGTGAACTACTTCTCATGTTCCTATGTTAAACTTCATTTCCCATCTATCTGGCCATTCTGCTATCCTGCTATCTTGCCCGCTCTCTCTCCAATATCTATCTACTTCTCTTGAAAGTTCTTATCGAATCGGCTTCCTCTCTCCTTTCAGGCAATACATTCCAGAACCGAACAATTATGTGAAAACATTTCTCCTCACCTCCCATCTGGTTCTTTTGGCAACTATTTTAAATCGATGTCCTCTGGTTACCAACCCACCTGCCAGTGGAAACAGTTTCTCCCTGTTAACCCTTTTGAATCCCCTCATAATTTTGAACACTTCTATTAAATCTCCCCTTAATCTTCTCTGCTCCAAGGAGAATAATCCTAACTTCTCTAGCCTCTCCTGATAACTAAAGTCCCTCATTTCTGGTACCATCCTAGTAAATCTCCTTTGTACCCTCTCCAAGGCCTTGATATCCTTCCTAAAGTGTGGTGCCCAGAATTGAACACAGTACTCTAGGTGACACCTAACCAGTGTTTTATAAAGGTTCATCATAACCTCCTTACTTTTGTATTCTATCCCCCTATTTATAAAGCCGAGTATCCCGTTTGTTTTTTAACAACTTTATCTATGTGTCCTACCCCCTTCAAAAATTTGCTTATGTGGACCCGCAGGTCTCTCTATTCCAGCATATTTTACCATCTAGCTTATATTGCCTCTCCTCATTCTTCCTCCCAAAATCCATCACTTCATATTTCTCCTCATTAAATTTCATCTGCCATGTGTCTGCCCATTTTACCAGTTTGTCTACATTCTCTTGCAGTCTGCTAACTATCCTCCTCACTGTTTACTACCTTTCCTAGCTTTGTATTATCTGCAAACTTGGAAATTGTGCTCCCTATACCCAAGTCCAGGTCATTTGTATAGATAAAAAAGAGCAGTGTTCCCAATACCTGAGGGACACAACAGTATACTTCCCTCCAGTCAGAAAAACAATCGTTCACCACTACTCTCTGCTTTCTGTCTCCCAGCCAATTTTGTATCCATCCTGCCACTTTCCCTTTAATACCGGGGGCTTACAATTTTCTAAAAAGTCTATTACGTGGCACTTTATCAAAAGCCTTTTGAAAATCCATATATACTACATCTCAACTGCACTACCTTCATCCACCCTCTCTGTTACTTCATCAAAAAACTCGATCAAGTTTGTTAGACATGATTTGCCTTTAACAAATCCGTGTTGGCTGTCCTTTTCTAACCCATATTTTTCTATGTGAAAATTTATTTTGTCCCAGATAATTGTCTCTAGAAGTTTCCACACTACTGATTACAGTATTATTACAGGCTGACCAGCCTGTAATTCCTGGATTTTTCCTTCCCTGCTTTTTGTACAGGGGAGTAACATTTGTGGAGTCCTGTAGCTCAGTGGTTAGAGCACTCGCTTTGCAAGCGAGAGTCCTGAGTTCAATTCCAGGCAGGGCGAAACCTTGGGCAAGTTTCCTTACTCCACACGCCTAATAATAATCCCTCCAAAACCAAAAACAATAATAAATTGGTCATTTTCAATCTACGACTGTTTGTGGGACATTACTGTGCGCAATTGGCTGCCGCGTTTGCCCACAAATATACAGTCAACTCACCTTACAGTGTGTTCTGTGAAGCGCTTTGGGACGTCCTCCCGACGTGAAAAGCGCTATCAAATGCAAGGATTATTATTATTATTATTTGCAACCCTCCAGTCCTCTGGCACCAGTCTGGTGTCCAAGGAGGACTGAAAGATTGTGGCCAGAGCCTCCATTATTTCCACCTTTACTTCCCTTAGTAACCTAGGATGCATCCCATCCGGACCGGGTGA